GATGGCGCTAGTGTTCTTAGCTCTCGCGGCTGATGTTAAACCCTCAACTAATTAGGTGCCCTTGTAAATCATATCACACCAACGAGTCACCATGGGGATGGCGATATGAGAAGCTCGGGGTAGAGTGCGCTAGTGAGCGGTGAGATCAACGATGGGGCGCGCTGTTCAAACGCGCCAGAGTGGGGGTTGCGAGGCGGGGGCGGGCCGAGCTGCCGGGCCCGGCGGTGGGCGGACGAGGGGGAGGAGATGCACCGGCAACGGGACATTCGCGCGTAAAACAGGTGGAGTGAAGGAGATTGTTGTTACTTGAGACAATCTTTTCTTGAAATTATTGGAAATGGCTCTAACTAAAGCAATGATCACTGGAATGAACGTGAAAGAATTGCACGCTGAATTAAGAGCGCGGGGAGCTATAATCACCGGGAAAAAAGTTAAACTGCAAGAAAGGTAGGTTGTGTTCTCTATTGTGCTTTTGTAAACAAAGGGCCGCGTATTGCGCAATGCAGATATTTTTAAGTGATTTGTATGTATCAAACAGTAATTGTTTATTTTCTTTATTACAGATTAGAAGCATTTGTTAAATGCAACAATTTTGTAGTTCCGGTGAATGTTGTTTCAGTAGAGCCAGATTTCCTTGTCCCTGAGGATAAATATTTCAGGGACGTAAATTCAAGTAAAGATTTGCCTCCAGTAACAAGAAAACAAATAAAATTATTTCTGAAAAAGTAAGTACATCACTTTACGTTTGGATTAAATCCTTTATTGAATTATCATCACTTGTTATATTAAAATCACTTTCTTTTACAGCTTTGAGTCTGATGGAGGCCCATCAGAGGGGATGTATAAAAATACCTTTTTAGAACACTTGAGGTATTGTTATGACAGTGGGGAAAATCTTCATTTCTATAAAGCCTCTGTCTATGCAGAGATGACAAAATCTGTTACTTATTGTGTATACATTAGACTAGACTCAGATAAGATGATAGATAGGTCCCATTGCGATTGTGTTGCTGGCCATGGTGGGTCAGCACATTGTAAGCACGTAATTGTAACATTTTTAGGTATAGAAGATATAACTTTAAATGGTAAGATAATTTTAAGACAAACATGTACAGAAAAGCTCCAAACATTTCACAAGCCATCAAAAAAATACAGAGGATCACCAATTAAATCTGATCAAATGATTAAAGGAGATCGGGAATCATGCATCTATGATCCTAGGCCAGCAAAATATCAAAACAGGATTAAACAGAGAATGCATAATTTGGTCGGGCCTTATCATTCTACCATGCCATTGAAATGTTTAATTCCCCCTGCCAACCCATATGCCATAGAATTAGAACATCAATATGCAAAGGAGTCGCCCACAATAGCCTTTCTGAAATCAATGAATTTATTTGCAGTAAGTCAGGAGAAGATTGATTTCATTGAGAAAAAAACCAGGGGTCAAAGTGAGAACCGTTTGTGGGCAGAATACAAGCGAGGCCATTTGTCTGCGTCACTTTTTGGTAATATTGTCACAGCTATGAAGAACTGTGAGGAGAGCGCAGTATTATCACTTTGTGACAGGATTTTGTACCCTCGCACAATTTATTCAAAGGCAGTGAAGCATGGCATTTTAAATGAAGAGAAAGCCATAGCCAAGTTCAAAGAAGTTCACCCTGGTAGTGTTGCCACAGAGTGTGGCTTCTTCATTAGCAAAGAGAAGCCACATCTTGGGGCAACTCCTGACAGGCTGTTGGGGGAACACGCTTTAATTGAAGTGAAGTGCCCCTACAGTGCTAGAGATAAGCTAATAAATATTCATACAGTAGATTACCTCATAGCTGATGAAAATGGAAAGCTAAAGTTAAGTGAGGACCATGCCTACATGTACCAAATACAGGGACAGCTCTATTGTACAGGTAGGCAATTTTGTGATTTGTTTGTATATACATTTGTAGATCATTGCACTATTTCTGTTGTGAGAGATGATAGGTTCATTGAAAACATGCTACAAATAATTGATAAGTTCTATGAAGAACATTTCTTACCATTTCTACTAAAGAATTGTTATTACAGGCGTTACTATGACTACTCATTTTAAGACTGTAGTATAATTTTGCTCATATTAGTGTGCCATCTATCTTGACTGTACCCATTCTAGTTATTATGGTAACTCATTTTCATTTTAAACCTGTTGTATTATTTAGTTTGTATTATCAACACTGTTCCTACTCTAGTTATTATGGTAATGTTCTATGGTTTGCCATATTTTATTGTTTCAGGCAATTGAACTTATATTTGTTTTAGTGCCAAAGTTTACTCTAGTAATTACGGGTAATGTTCCAAAAGTACAAAGTATTTTAGTAGGCTGTTTTTATTTAACAGACCAAACTATTTGTTTTTGTATCTTAGTAATTTAAGCTTTGTTTCTCATTTTTTTTTATGTTTTTCATATTTTGTATCATGTATTTACATGTTTAATATACTTTCAGTATTTCAAATTATTAGAATGGTTATTAAGCTTTGAACCTAAACACAGGAATGAGAGAAACAATTTAAACTTTAACTATGCATAACGACTTACAATACCCTCCCTGAAATTGCACAACATGCAACAAACAAATGAAATTTGGCTCCCCAGAGGCACATAGTAGGGTGGAAGTTCCTTTTTGAGGATTTTGTAAGTTTTTACAAGACCAATCACTCGTTCAATGTGAACTCTCTTACTAGCAAGCTTTCTGTCCTTCAGTAAAGTTAACCCAGGTAACTGAGCTTGACCTTTGAGGAAAGAGGGAATATTAACTGCGACGTTACAGGGAGCAAACAAATCCTGGACAGTGAAACCTCGGTCAGCCATAATGGAATCTCCAGGATCACATTTCTGAGTTAGGTCACTTCGCTCGACAATAGCCCTATCACTCACTGAACCAGCATATGCCTCTGAACAATAGGATATTAATCCACTAGGAGTGGCACCAACCAAAATTTTTTCAGTGGCACGATTTTTGTAGGTGCTAAAGGCTGCTTGAGAATGGAGCGGGTTTTTAGGAGATGAAATTGGAATTTCAGTGCCGTCTATTATGACTCTAGTGCTGGGGTATACTTTACGAAAGCCCTCAGGCATATAATAGTGTGTCAAGTCTTTAGAAGGCCATATATTCAATTCCTTCCATTCATGATACATAAAATTGATCCAAGTTACCACAATATCTTGTACTGTTTTTTTAGAAACAAAGAAATGATAAGCCAGACCAATGTCTGGAATTCCACGCCTTAACTTCATAAGTGTCATTAGAAACTGATCTTCAATTGAAACACTTTCTACCGTGTGATAACGATATTTTAACTCATAGCGCGCAGGTCCCAAAGAATGTAACACCAACATAAACTTATCAAAATTTTCCAAGCCCGTGAAGTATGAGACACAATTTGGGTTTTTTCTTAATGTCTCAAAAATAAATGTACTCTTTAGAGTCTGAGTGCTTACACTTCTAAAAGTCTTCGGTTTTTCGCTTTTCTTGCGGCACTGCTTCAAATTACTGCTGTCGACTCCAGGTGATGTAGGGGTACTCACAATTTCTTCAACCACACCAATAGTATCACAGACGACAAATCCCAGATCTTGCACTTCAACATTGCCCACACATGATGACAGTGAGTCCGTAAAAGACCCATCAACAGACAGCTCAGAGCTGTCATCATGGGTATCTGCAGCTGTCAGATGAAGCCGCTTGTTCTCACGATGCACGGCCGAGTTTTCACTCCTTCTCTTGAGCGACCTATTTTTAACCCTGTCCCCTCTTTCATCGACTTTACTTGCATAATCTAGATTTTTTCTGTGAGCAAAAAGGGAAGGAACAGCGGCTTTCTTTAAAATCTTCAGCACATTCTTGGCTCCTGTATGGGTGAGACAAAGAGGGGTTATATTTTGAGGGCACATAGGCATATCAAGGCCGTTCAGCACGAAAGGAATGTGTGTGCAGCATAACTGTAAGGTATGTTAATGCGAAGAAAAACTTCAACTTCGATTTAACTACCTGAATCAGCCTGTTCAGTGCAATAATCCGTCGGGAGGAAATGATCGCCGCAGACGCGTGAAAACCGGCTGGGTTGAAATGACTCTCTTTTAATTGCGACGAGCCATTGCTTCTTGATTTCTGGGTCAGATGGAAACTTATGCCCGCCACCCCTATTCTTACACCCAAAAGCAACACACTGGGCCATTTACTGTGAGATATTGCACTTATTTCAACCCACTGTTTGACATCTGTCACTATGGGAAAACGCCGTTTACTAGCACGAGTTGATCTCACCGCTCACTAGCGCTCCTAGCGGCCGCAACTGGCAGTCGCCATCCCCATGGCTACACAACAATCAGATGGCCTGAGTGCCGATGTTCTCTTGCAATTTCCTCTCGAAGCACAAAGTAAAGACTTTCTCCTGCACGGTTCT